CAAATAAGCGCATTTACATCTGCGAAAATAAGCATCTGGAATATTTCACCATAATCCCTCCAGTGTTTCAATTTTCCGTCTTTTTATGCAAGCTGCTGAAAACTTTCAGGGAAACAAGCAGAAGAGGCACGAAAAATGGTGAGTCAAAAAAAGACTCTCCGAAAGATAAACAAAGCCTATATTTTTGACACGTGCTAAAAACGTAATATGAAGTAGCATATGAATTTAACTAAAGAAGAAACTCAATAACGCACCTCGGAGTGGCTGCTGCATTTGAAGGGATGCTTGGAGAATGGGAGCCATTCCACGACGCGTCCGATTCTTTTCTTAAAGCTTCTAAGCATAATAATTTGGCCTGCAAAAAAAAAATAAATTCTGTGTGGTTAACTGGAAATCCATCCAGTGTTTACTTTGCCAACAGGTGGTTAAGATCTGCTTAATACTATCGCTTAAGCACCATTTCTTGTCGTTTTCATTTGACCTAGGGGAAAAGATATTGGGTTTGGAAACAATGATTCAGTCGGTTCCGTTACAGCTGATAAAGAGGTATTTCAGGCAAATACGTGTTATAATAAATTTATGTTATGATAAAAGCATTTCTGAATTAGAAGCATTTACGCGAAATCCGACGCAAGCTCGATCTTCACCTAAGTCCCCCATGCGACAGCTGGTGCAGGTGGTCAAATGCTGTAGCTGCCGTTTTAAGCCGAAAAATGAAAATATGTAAAATGAATTTTAAACATACGTCAAAGAGTTGCGACGGATAGCACAGCCCATTCTTGCGCACTGGTGTGGCACCAAGTTGTCGCCGCTGGTCATCTTCATCCGTCGCACTTTTGTTACCTGACTGCAGTGTCGCCGCTACCATGCTCCGTCGTGAGCGTTTTTCGGGCGGCTCCTCATCTGTTCCATTTGCTCGTCGATTGGAATAGCTACTCCCCTCATAATCCGGATACCGTTTGCCTGCTTAATGAATTTACTTCTCATTACTCTATTTTCCTGTTCCAAGATTGGCCCACTACATCAGCACATAGAAAAGTGCACTCCACCCCCGAAAGCTAGTAAGTCACTCTATCTCGCTAGTTATCTATAGTACCATCACTTTCCGGGCTGTCAGTATGGGTATTCCAGATGCTATGGAATGCTTGCACATGTCGGACGCAGCTATGCCAGGCCATTCGATCCTGGACCACATACCTCCCTCCTTGTTAGTCCCCACCGCCTGCTCGATGTGCAAGCGCCAACTCTTTGGTGATTGCGCGAATGGTCGTTTACTTCCACGCAGAATAATAACTCCCTTATTCGCATTTTCTTCAGTGGCAGTCGCACAGGAAGGTAAACAAGGGATTAAAGTGACCATTCCAATGACTTTTTCTTAAAAAGTGGAAGGAATTCTGAAAAAGTGAGCGAACAGAGAACTTACCCACACCTTCGATACCAATACTTTCTTGAGATGAATTCGGCCTGTTACTCTGCAATGAATCATTATTTCAAGTTAGCAGAGCCCACTGGGGGATCAGTTGTTAAAGATTCGTTTCTGACAAGATGTATTGGTTCCAAAACGCAATGCAGCCTTCCATGTTTTCGTCACAACTCGTTTGCATCAAACGCTCAGCCGTCCTTTCGCTCCCAAGCACTCGTTGCATCCACGCCGAGTATGGAAAGGATAATTCACTGAATGTCTGTTGAAAGCAAACCAACAATAGTCTAGTGTAAAGTGCTAACAGACAAAGACGAGAAGACAATAAAAAAAATAACAGAAATAAGATGTATAAGGAAAGCAATATAAGTATGATTACATAGAGAAGTAACACAAATATTAAAAAAAAAAATACGAAGAAGCAGTATAAATATGGATATTCAAAAAAGTAATAAAAATATTAAAAAA